ATACAGTATATTATAATACATTCTTGAAAAAAATATTCTCATTTTTTATCAGTTTAGTAAATATTTTTTGAAAAAAATATACATTTATTTTGGGTAAAAAGCATTATTGGCACCAAAGTTTGAATTATAGTGTGCATATCAAATGTAAAAGATTGACTGCATTAATTAAATTGAAATATTTGTTTCTTTAGTTGTTACTAAAATAGTTTATTGTATGCATACACTCACAGGCCACTTTATTAGGTACACCTGTCCAACTGCTCGTTAATGCGGATTTCTAATCAGCCAATCACATGGCAGCAACTCAATGCATTTAGACATGGAGACATGGTCAAGACGATCTGCTGCAGTTCAAACCGAGCATCATAATGGGGAAGAAAGGGGATTTAAATGACTTTGAACGTGGCATGGTTGTTAGTGACAGACGGGCTGGTCTGGGTATTTCAAAAACCGTTGATCTACTGGGATTTTCACGCACAACCATCTCTAGGATCTACAGAGAATGGTCTGAAAAAGAGAAAATATCCAGTGAGGGGCAGTCTTGTGGGCGCAAATGCCTTGTTGATGCCAGAGGTCAAAGGAGAATGGCCAGACTGGTTCCAGCTGATAGAAAGGCAATAGTAAATCAAATAAGTACTCGTTACAACCGAGGTCTGCAGAAGAGCATCTCTGAACACACAACACGTCCAACCTTGAGGCAGATGGGCTACAGCAGCAGAAGACCACACCGGGTGCCGCTCCTGTCAGCTAAGAACAGAAAACTGAGGCTACAATTCACACAGACTCACCAAAACTGGACAATAGAAGATTGGAGAAACGTTGCCTGCTCTGATGAGTCTCCATTTCTGCTGCAACATTCAGATGGTAGGGCCAGAATTTGAACAACGTGAAAGCATGGATCCATCCTGCCTTGTATCAACAGTTTAGGCTGGTGGTGGTGGTGTAATGGTGTGGGGGATATTTTCTTGGCACACTTTGGACCCATTAGTAATAATTGAGCATTGTATCAACACCACAGCCTACCTGAGTAATGTTGCTGACCATGTCCGTCCCTTTATGACCACAGTGTACCCATCTGAATCAGCGTGAATCATCTCAGACTGGTTTCTTGAAAATGACTATGAGTTCACTGTACACAAACGGCCTCCACAGTCACCAGAACTCAATCCGATAGAGCACCTTTGGGATGTGGTGAAAAGGGAGATTTACATCATGGAGATTTGCACATGGTCTTTTTCTTTGATGTGTGTACATATCCAATTTAAACATTACTTCTAGTAATTGATCTAACAAATGAAATGACATTTAACATTATATAAACATTCTAAAAAAAATAATAATAATATTTGAAAGCACAACTGATCCATCGTCAAGTCAGTCCTTAGATTAGTAAAGTGTGAAAGTGACCCGCGGGTGAAACAGCACTTGTGTTGAGCGTCTAAGCGGATGCATTTATTGCCAAATCCCCAAATAATCCCATAATCTCGAAAGCACCAAATTACAGCCGGATGATGCAAAACCAACAAACACGGCCTCTGTGTGTTTGTTTTGCACACATCTACACATTAACTCTGTGGAAGTGTCGCTCCATCATCCTCGGCTTTAGAAAGACAAATTGTGTGATTGGTGCGGATTCGTCGTCTGCCTGCGGGACATGGGGAATTAGCTGCGAGCTGCCACTGCAATTAGCATCCGCGCTGAAGCAGAGATTGATCAGACATCATTTCCATCCTCCGTACGGACTGTCAGATTCATCAGGACATCTCACAAACATCCATCTCACCCCACTTACTGTATTATTACAGCAAATCTTTATGGAACGAAAGCAGTTTGAGGACACTCAAGGACTTTCCGGCTTTCAAACAGCTCTCTTTTATTATTAATATTGATTGCACAGATTATTTTTTTTTTTGTACTAGTGTACATATTGACTTTATAGTTCATGCACGACTTCAATTTTTTTGTCTTTTTTCTAGTTCAGGTATCTACAAGTTCTTAAAGGTGATATTTATGGCGGCAAAGAAGTGGCACAGTAGGTAGTGCTGTTGCCTCACAGCAAGAAGGTCACTGGTCGATCCTCGGTTCTGTTGGCCTTTATGTGTGGAGTTTGCATGTTCTCCCAGCGTTCTTGTGGGTTTCCTCCGGGTGCTCCAGGTTTCCCCCACAGTCCAAAGACATGCAGTAGGTAGGCTAAATTGTCCGTAGTGTATGTGTGAGTGTAATGATCTGAGTGGGGATCGAACCCGGGTCTACGGTGTGGTTAGCAGTAGCTCTTACTAGATGAGCTAAGTCTGCAACTGGTGGCCCAAGAGCAGAGGAGGAACAAAGTTAGTCCACAACTAATGAATTTCAGTAAAATAATATAGTCTTTAGTCAGAGTTGAAATTTGACAGAGCCAGGGTTGAAAAAGTACAACAAAAATAGGAAAGCCGAGCTTCCTGAAAATACATACAAAATTAAATAGACACGGGGATCTCATAACAATCAAACAGCAAAATAGCAAGCAAAAAGTCTTGAGAACAAGCAAAAAGTCTGGAGAACTAGTGATGTGACGTTGTGCGCCGAGGCTTCAAAGCAGTGAAGCAGTGTACCGGAGCTTGATTCGTTTTGCCATCATCACGTGATCAGTGACGTCCGAA